ATCGGGGGAGAGAGAGAGACAAAGGGAGAGAGTTGAATGTATCCTGTAATCAGTACGGGAGTGTCCCTTTCTATAAATTTAATCCATACTGAGGAAGAGTCATTGATCAGAGCTAATTAATTACTGCAAAGTCCAGCTCAAGTTGGAGACCGTTATAGTTAATCAGCGTCCACCTAACGAGGAAGAGTCCGTACAGTAGTAATTAAACGCTTACGCGTACTGAACGTCCATCTTGTTAATTAATCCTGGCTCGCTCAATTAAGTATCTCGCCAACAGTCTCAATATTATTTGCATCACGTATATGCATCACGTATAAGCGTTATTACTTAAATACGCGCGAATGCGAGATTATACCCCGTTAAGTAAATAGCTTCGCCGCGGTGATGCCGAACGCATAATAAAAATATCACCCGATATGCATATCTGTATATATCAGTCAGTGGGTACACGTGAAGTAATTAGTATTGCGCGCGATTTCGGAATTAATCGACTCTACGCGATTCTCATTACGTAATTACTGTCTGCATTTGATGATTATCCACGTTTTGCAATTGATACGAGTCTCGTTGAGTCCGTATCAATATAAGCGGTTTCTATTCCCGTATTAATTAACGGCTTGGACGAAAAAAAGTTAATGTATTGTCTTTCCAATCTTATTAAAATTCTAATTAATTAAATATCGCTTTATTCTTATTTTTAATTCTTGCATTTAAAAAACAAATGTGAAATTCATCATAAATGCGGAGAGGTGGAATCGAATGGAAAAGTTCCCCAGCGTCTGTGCAAGCTTTGCAATGACAGAGAGTAAAATGGGCCGTGATCACATTGAAGCTTACCGGCGCATAAAGCAGAGAATGTGAGAAAACGTCGGAGCGATCTTTAACAGGACGCGAAAGAGGAGAGGACAAAGCTGACGTCCGCGCCCTACATTGAGACACTTGGGCAAAAAGCTAAGAGAATCGAGGGATTGCGCGGGCGAAGGATGAATAAAGGAAACCAAAGGAAGTCGTACGTGCGATCTCGGGTGTGGAAAAAAAGCGATGGCCTCCTTTTAGATGCGAAAAATTGTTCGAGATGCCTCCAGATATCTTAAATGAGATCGTAGAAAGACGTTCAAATACATTCCGTCATTTAAATATATATCGATGAGTTAAATCTATTATATATATATATATATATATATATATATATATATATATATATTTTAAGTAGGTAAAAAATTACAGAAAGAAATCGCAAGTGCGACTCGAAAATATCGTTGGAAGGAAATTTGCGTACTCCGTATCTTTTCTGATATTGATTCTGTGGCATAATGTCAAGTCACATCGATAATCAATATTTCCCCGCGGAATAAGAAGTGAAAGGCGGGAGTAAGAGTAAAACTGATTATAATTTTCAGAGGCGGGCAAGATGGAGGTACGCGAACTACTGTCTCTCTCTCACTCACTCTTTCTCTCTCTCTCTTTCTTTTTCTCTCTCTCATTGTGTGTAGCCGGAATATCGAGGGTTAAAGGAGCGAGGGGAAGGTGAGCAATAAATCACTCGGGCCGACAGTGCCAAGTTAGGCTGCGCCACGTGACGAAGCAGATTCGGTCCTTCTGCTCCTTTTCCCCACTCCCAAGTTCCTCTCTTCGCTCACGAAGGAAAAAGTCCTGAGGCGAAACCGTACTGATTTCCAGGATATTTATCAAATTGCGTGGGTACACTTAGGGATATCAATTTCGCCGCATGTGCTTGTTATAAAGTTTCCTCATTTTTCATCGTACGCAAAAGAAAATGGTGCGCGCTGTGAATAGAAATATAATTTTTCACTATGCATTATGTTATATATACGTATAAAAATATATGATACGTTGCGCGATGTCTACTTAAAGATTTGTTTATCTGAAAGCCTGTTTAGTGAACGTTTATTTGTGACGCTTATTTTGTATATATGGGGGACCCTCATACCACACTATGTAATCTAAAGTAACTGTAATACATTGTTGTTTTATCTGTTTTTTTTTTCATTTTATTTTTTAAAATTCTCAAGTAAAATGAAGTATACATATACAGTACCGAGAGTACTCGCTCGGAGATTGAGGGAAATCTCCGATTTGCTTTACAACATCGAGGCGATATGAT